CTGTCCGGGGATGGATAATTGCTGAAAACAGTCATACTTTGATTTTTAAAATTCTAAAGTTCCGTGACCATAACAGTGATCTGATTTTGTATTATTTTAGTCTTTTAATAGGTATACTAATTTTTATTAACGCCCTTTAAGAACACTGAAACCGAGATGCAATCACACTGGGCTCGAACAAAGGACATGATATCCGCCGGAGAACGCCTCATTGAAAATGGCCAGTCGCGTGAAGATATCCAGGTTGGTTTTCGAGTGCAGTCTTTTGTAAGAAAATTGGGCACTATTTACCCTTGGGGCAGTAAAGGGTAAATAGTGCCGAAAATTGACTTTCTCTGCTGCTTTTTCTTTTTCGGTTTCCCTCTGATTACAGTTACTGGAAACAATGTAGAGAAGTTAAGCGGTCCTGTCCAGTTGTATGTCAGCAGTAAATAAATGGTAAATAAATAAAATATACGTTTTGTTCCAGCGTCGAATTCAAGCGATGCAGCAGGGTTGGGAACGTCTTCGAGCCGCTCATCAAGCTCTTGGTCAGTGGCTCAACGAAGCAAAACAGGCGCAGCAGTATTTCCAGGTACCTTGGAACTTATCTGCATTCGTTGACGGCGCTTCATACAGCTTACTTATTATCCAGGATGCAAACGAAGCAGAGTCATGGATTCGTGAGAAAATGCCTCTCGTCAAAAGTGATGATCTGGGTCGTGATGAAGGAGCCGCAGAGTCGTTGTTGCAGAGGCACGCTCGCCTCGAAGAAGAAATTCATGCCTATAGGTCAGTGTTCCTCAGTGATAATTCACTTCGATAAGCGAGAGATGAATGACACGACTTAATAGATTTTGGAGTCAAAATTATCTGCAAAGTATTCCTTATATCAAATCTGTGATTACATTATGCCTACAACTTTAGGGCTGATATTGTTCGACTTGAAGAAATGAGCCAGCAACTTGCCAACAGCTCTTTCCATACTGCAACAACAAGTAGTCAGGAGGTCTGTTCCGAGTTTCGCTAGTTATTTGACTGAATTAATAGAATAGTTGTGAGCACTTTTCAGACGGAAGAGGTGTCAGTGCCTCAAATTGAAATGCTCTATAAATACGATGGCAATGGAATGTCTGTCGTCAAAGGNTTGTTAGAGCAATCGACCCCTGAATGGTGGCGTGTGCTGAAGCAGGATGGTACTGAAGGTTTTGTGCCAGCAAACTACTGCAGAAAAGTACCAGGAGAATCGGTAAGTCTGCATTATCTGTAACATTGATTGCTTCGCTTGTGTAACACGAGCGCCCATGATGGTATTTCCCTTCGGGGTAGTATTTGTTGTCGTATTTAAAGCCGCATCTTGCCAGAACTCAGAAGTTTTCTAAATTTTCTTACCGATTTTTTGCCCTATCCTTATATTTTGTATCTCAAGGTGCAGCCTCTCGATACATCCTCTATTTTCTTTTGAGATTATCATTTCTAACTTTCAATATTTACTACTTGATCCTCATCTTGCTATACTTTCAAGGTGACTGTCACGCAAACAACTACAACTACGAAGGCTCATTCTGATGTAGTTGACGGAAAGCGGGCTATTGTTGACCGCCAGAAGATGATCTCGTCAGATTACCGACAGCTGAACAGTTTGGCCGAAGTCCGACGGCGTCTCCTTTCTGATAATATCAAACTAATGAGGCAAGTATTACTTCTTTTCTCTTTTTTCTTAGTTTGAATAAAGCTGTTGATGTTTATGTTCCAAGTGAACAGGCAATAGATAGTTTGAACTCTGAAGGACTGTAACAATTAAGGTTCTATCGTGAGTGCGACGAATTCGAGGGCTGGGCTCGTGAAACTGAAGCTGCTCTAGCAGATGAACCTTCAGTAGAGCATGTCAAGGCATTCCGTAAGAAGTTCGATCGTCTCGAAGCAGATATGAAGGCCATTGGAGGTACCCAGCTGAAGCATATCAATGCAATGGCTGACGAACTAATTGGTGAGGGGCACAGCCAGTCAAGGCAAATCGAGGCACGCCAGAGGAAGGTTAGCGATACTTAGCGGTGTTGGTTGTAATGTTAATTGATGGTTTCAAACACTGGTGTCTTAGGTCAACGCGTTGTGGGCGGATTTGGAGCGTTTGCGGGCCAAAAGAGCTGCCAAACTTGAGACGACTGAAAGAGTCGCAGATTTTGATTCGTCGTGTGAGGATGCTAGAGAGTGGATGCAGGTATGTAGGCATTTATTCAGGCATTTACTTTCTGTTGTAGTCTCTGGAGCCCTAACTACTTCAATGTCACCGAAGGAAGCTCTGATGATGAACAAAAGGAAATCTGCCTCTGTCACCCCGCAATTATTCGATCAACGTCCCCGTAATTCATTGTCGTCAAGTCTCAGTTTTCAGGGCAAATTCGACCTTCTTGATCGTAATCCAAATGACTTGAAGAGTCTGCAGAACTTGGAGAGAGACTTGAAGCCCCTCGAAGATAAGATTCACTACTTGGAAAAGCTCGCAGCTGAGGTATGGCAAGAAGATAACCTTTCTGGAAAGATGGATCATAAAGAAAGAATTGTCTAGGTGAAAAAGAAGAATCCAGAGGAAGCTGCTGCCATCGAAAAGAAAATTGCCGAGCTGCGTGCAATGCATGCCGATCTACTCCGAAGAGCTCATGAAAAGATTAAGATTGCCGAGCAATCTCAAGGTTGGGGATTTTTCCTTTATTTACCGAGATTGAGCGTGATTGATTCATGCATTCCTGGTTTTTCATCTTTTCGAACGTATTCAATTATGCGGGACTAGTTCTATGTGTTCAGGTCAGGAAATGTTCGAAACGGCATTGAGGGATGTGCTGGTCTGGATCGACCGCACCAAGAAAGTGCTTGCCGAAGATGTTCATGCCTTGGATGTCCAACAAGCTGAAGAACTGCTGAAGAAGCACTACGAACTTGGCGAGCAGATTATGGACAAGAAGTACGAGGTGGGTTTGTTAGGCTAAGTGTTTGAAATAGACAAAAACTAGGTACAAAAAGTGATTTTCCAGGTGGATTACGTGCATGAGCTTGGACGCCGCCTACTCGAAAAAAATCCACGTTTACATGAAGTTGATGCGCAGCTCAAACATCTGACCGGTGAAATGAACACAGTCAAGGTGAGCTGATTTTTATGTATCGGTTCATTTTTGATAGCCATACGGCGCGGGCCATGAACATTAGTGTTTTATGAAACATCTCCCTTGAACTTTTTCTTACTGAATATGATAGAGGGACATGATCAGTAGTAAATGATAATTACTGGCGTACTCGACCACTGGTAGCGCCTATAGATCGCCTATTTAGGAATTTTTAACTTCATAGTGCCCTTATGCTATCATTTCCCTTTCGTTTTATAGAACATGTACCGAACGCGTGACGCTCAACTGAAGGAGCAACTCGACCTCCAGCTATTCAACCGTGAAGCTGAGCGAATCGACGCTGCTACAAAAGGCCATGAGGCTTTCCTTGATTACGCCGACTTAGGAGTGAGTGTTGGGATGCTTTGTCACCTTTGTCCCGGTGGCCCTTATATTGTTCAACTTAAGATATACTGCTATGCGGTCTTTCAGGACTCAGTGGAATCGGTGGAGAATCTTCTAAAACGTCATCGTGACCTCGAAGCAAAGTTGGATGCTCAAGAAGGACGTCTTAGCGCTTTCTCGAAGAATGCAGATGATCTCATCAAAAATCGACACTCCGAGAGCGCTTACATAGATGGGGTACGGTTTGAAGAAAGTTCTTGGTCATATGTTTTACTTACAGTCACGCAGTCTGTCGGTCTAAAACATGGCACCGGTTTAGTTCTTTTCGATTCAGAATTATTATATTTCTTTTTAGCGAAGAGGAGAGGTCCTGGCACGTCGCGCAGCTGTACGACGAATGGCAGCAGAACGTCGAGCTCGCTTAGAGGCATCACTCGAATACCAGAATATGAAGAGAGATGCTGAGGAAATGATCACGTGGATTCATGAGAAAAAGAAGGTATGCGTTAAGTCGCAAGGGGAGTAGATGATGAGATAAAGGGGTCTTGAACATAATGCATTATTGAAAAGTTTGAGAACGGTTATTTCCTCAAATTCTACCAAGAAATAATCGAGCCCAACCCAATCCTTTGTTAATGTTATACAAAATTCTGCGCCGGTAAGGAACTAAAACATCTTTGCTGCGATTCAGTAACACACATTGGCACAGATCAAGACTCTTGGACTCAGTATAATTCTAAATCTGTAATAATAATGTAGTTCCAATGATGAATTGACGTAAGTTTCGATATCAGTCAAATTTATGTTATTAGTCGTTTGTAGAGGTTTAGGAAGCGATCAAAACACAGGTTGACCTTTCTAATAATGTCTTGTTACAGCTGGCTAACGATGACTCTCATCGTGACCTTACCTCTATTGCTAACAAGTTGCTCAAACACGAAGCATTTGAAGCCGAAGTCGGAGCGAATTCATCGAGAGTTGCTCAAATCAATCGGGTAGGTAGCTGTTGATATCAACTAGCGAACTTTTCAAAAAAGAGATTGATGCCTGGAGGGTTACCGATGGTGTGTCGTAATCGTCTAATTTCTAGGTTGGCGCTGCTCTAATCAACCAGAAGCACTATGAGTCTGCAAACGTTGATCGCCTTTTGAAACGCTTGAACACTGAATGGGCGGAGTTGCGCGATGCTGTTGCCCGTAAGGGCGAAAAACTGCGTCAAGCATCTGATCAGAAGGTAATCCTCGAACTGATTCTATTTTGTTTACGATCGATCGCCTTGTAGCGTGCCTTTTTAGTGTATAAGAAATAATTGCCAATTCAGGGTTTGAATCGTGTTCTTGAAGATGCTCATGCCAAACTAGATGAACTAGAAACCTCGCTGAAATCAGATGAATTGGGTTCTGACCTCAGGGCTGTCAAAGATCTCATCCAGAAGCATTCTGTTCTAGAACAAGAAATGGGACTCTACGAGAAGAGGGTCAGTTAGCTTTCATGACAGTAACCGTCTGCTGAAGACACTGTGGAATTATGGAGATTTCGTTTTTGATGAGAATTAAACATAGCTGTTCAGTTGGCGGACATTTATAACCGCGGCCGCAAAATGGCTGAGCAGGGACATTTCGATGCGGACAGAATCAACTATACTGTTGGAGCACTGCTGAAAAGGTGGGACGAGTTATTCATTCCTAAACCGGGCTACTTTTTTTCTCGTTCATGAACTTTGTTTCAATTCGTTTTTGTAGATTCGAGAACCTGGAAGGACCATCAGCTGCCAGACGAGCAGCTCTTGAAGAGTCCAGAAAGTGGCACCAACTCGCGTTTGATGTTGACTGTGAGCTGCAGTGGATTGCTGAGAAGGTTTGTTTGAAGATTCTTTTCCGATTCAGAGGAAGTCGGAGTACATCTCGCTAAACAGGGACCATGACTGTCAAATGCAGCTCTTGTTTCCAGAAGCCCATTGCCTGCTCCGAGGATACTGGACGCAATCTGACCGAGGCTTTGAATATGGTCAAGAAGCAAGAGCAGCTAGAAGCAGAAGTTCACCAGCACTCTGGCAATATTGAAACGACTATCGCCCAAGGCGAAGCTTTGATCCGTGGTGGACATAATGCTGCTGCACAGATCAAGGCTAAATGCGAACAGGTGTGATTTTCGCATTATGGTACCGTTTTGTATGAACTTATGAAATCCATTTTTGCAATTTCAGTCAAATGTGAATAATGTACTCGAAAAGGTAACGTGAGGATTGTTGTGTGTGGCATTAAATTTGAGTACCTTATGGAATTTCCAAGTAGTTGTTTCGTAGAGTGTAGAGTGCAGTGAATGTAGTTTTCTCTGTAAATTTGTGAGTTCAACTCAGTATATGTTTCTAGCTGGCTGAGGCGTGGACGCAATTGGCGCACTTGGTCAAAAAACGTCGTCAAGTTGTCGACTGGGGTGTGAAGGAACAACAGTACATGTTCGATGCAGCCGAGGTTGATTTTCTTTTTCTTGATCTTACTTTGTAGGGGTTCACTGGTTGACCCTGTTTACTTACCGCTACCGTGGGCGGTTGTACCATTTTCACTTGTCCCCACCATTCCCATGCCCGAACCATGTATTTAAGGTTGAGTCATGGATGAATGAGAAACGGGCCGCGTTGGAGTCGGACAACTATGGGCAGGATGAAGATGCAGCTCAGAAATTGCTGGCCAAACATAAAGCACTACAAAAAGATATGCAGACATATAGGCAGTAAGTAGTCTCTAGTCGAATATTTTTTCTGTAGGGAATGTATCGAGACTCGCTTCAAAGGTGAATCAATGCATAACTTGATGTTATCTTCAGGTGGCTCGATAAGCTCTCTGTCAAATGCACTGAGTTGGTCAAGTCACATCGTCCGAACGTTGATCGTTTTGAGGTCAGGCAAAAAGAGCTGGAGACAGAGTTTGATCGTCTTAGTCGTTTGGGTAAGTTGCACCCAATTGAGTGAAAATCGTGAAAGTTTCCAGTATAATTGCCTCACTTTGCAGCTGAAGAGCGTTGCCGTGCGTTAGAGGATACTGTACATCTATTCGAGTACATGCGCGAAAGTGCAGATCTTGAACAGTGGATCAACGAGCAATTGCAAACAGCAATGAGTGAAGAGTACGGGGATGATTATGAGCACTTCAAGGTACGTATCTCTGCAGACTTCAGCAACTTTAGGATGCATCGTTATGATCTGATCTATGCAAAATCTGTTTACAGGAGTTGCAATCACGTTTCGAGGAATTCAAGCAGAGCGTCAAAACCGGCAGTGAACGATTTGTCTCCTGCGAAGCGGCTGCCAATGCGCTTCTTAGAAGGAATCCACCTTTCGGTCGAGATATCCTAAAGAAGCAAGAGAAACTGAGATCGGTAGGGTCTTAGCCTAGTCAGTTCATAAGACCTCGAAAGTTCCACCTTTAATGCAGGTCTGGACCCTTCTTTTGGACTATATTGAATCCCGTGAGTCGAAATTAGCGGCAGCAGAAGAGCTTCATCGATTCAATCAGGACGTCCTTGAACATGAAGAATGGGTCGCAGACAAAAGAGCCAATATGTCTCGTGACAAAGGACGAAACATGCAGCAAGTAAGGTTTTGGGCGAGTTATTTGTAGATAACAATCGAATGAAAATCACCCTTTTAGGCTAAATCGCTAAGTCAGAAACATGAGACCCTTGAAAAGGAAGTGGCGGGTATGGAGCCACAGTTGCAGGTGGGTGTTATCTCTTTTGGTCCCATCTATGGTTATATCTATATTTTTTGTTCCTACGAACAAGTTAATTTGATGTTCTTGGCTAAATTATTCTTTTGTTATGACTGCAGTCAAGTGATTCTACTAAATTCCTTCATCAATGTACATTTTTTCCTCCTTAGTCGTCTAGTTTCTCATGGCATGGTAGTTTGGTAATGGAGAAAGCTTTTGGAGTAAAACGGTACTTGCAGAAACTTCTCGCCGAGTCAGCTCGCCTGAAGGAGGCTTATCCCGGTGGAAATGCCGAACACATCGCTCAGCAACAAGTCGAACTTGCCGAAAGCTGGCAGGAACTGCTCCATGCCATTGATGACAGGCGAGATGAGCTGCGTGCCGCTAGAGATATGCATCGGTATGGTTGTATATCATGGAGCTCGATTTTCATTTGTGCGCAGAGGTTTCGATTTGAAGCTTTCAAATCCCCATTCAAAGAAAGAATTCGTTGCTTCTACGCAACTTTTTGATTTGATTGTTGAGGTCCTCCATGATTTTTACCATTTGGTGGAAAACACACCGGTGAATCACGGGGTTCGGGCGTTCTGATCGTATTTGCTAATTTGTTTCCTGTTCTCAAAGTTATTGAGGATGCATCAGAGTCCCATTACGAATCTCTTATCTAAGTGTTCCAGCTTAAGTACTTTTTTTAAGTTTCAACGCTGATGTACGAGACCTACTTGCATGGGCTGATATAACCATTGCCGATATGCAGTCAGAAATGCAGGTTTGTCACTGAGTTGTTGTTTTCTCTTTTGTTCACGCTTTCTAATCAAAATTTTTAGGTGAATGGTCTGCAACAAGCCGAAGGGCTTCAAAAAGAGCATTCTCGTCTTCGTGGAGAGATCACAGCCCGAGCTCCTGAATTTGAGAAAGTCAAACAATCTGGCGAGGCGATGATTCAACGAGGACACTTCGATTCTCATAACATTGCAAAGAAAGTTCATCAGGTAGGGTTATCACAGTATGTTCAAATGTCGTTGAGGTTTTTTTGTTTATATGAGCGATTTTCTCCAGCTGTGGATTTGTCAAAACGCACCATTTGAATTAAAATTCAACCTAGATTTGAAAACAGTCTTGGAGCTCTTTTACATGAAGCCCGTTAGGGTTTTCCCGCAAGGACCACGAGTTCTCCATAATTCCTAGACCTCTTGTTCTTTTATTTCCGTTTTTAGTCTGCTTGGTTCTATTTGACACTTCTGCACTTCACTGGTGCAACAGTGGAGTCGTTGATCTATCCATTGCTACGATTTCTTTTTTTCGATAGAATTTTTTTTATCCAGGCTTTTTTGAGGTCAACACCGCCTTTGATCGTCTCCGATCTGAATGGGACCTCCGTGATAGCTATCTAGTTCAACTAGTCCAGTGGCACGCTCTCCAACAAGAAGCAAATCAAATTCTCACTCTGATTGCGAGTAAGAGAGCTACACTGCGGTTAGTCGACCTCTTCATTTGGGCATGAAAGTTACTGATGGTTGTTCAACAACGGGGCGGTTTCAGTCAGTTGGCAGTTGGAGGCAGCGTCGCTGATGTCGAAGGCCAAAAGAAACGTCTGGATACATTCGCGAAGGCCTTATCGACTCTGGACGAAAGAACTAAGGTGAGTACTTCAGAACTTCCCTACGAGGATAGGTTTTCGATGAAGTAATGCAGGTACTCGATCGTACTGCGAACGAGCTGATCGCAAATAATCATATGGAAAAGAACAACATCGAGCTGTCAAAGAAAAAGGTGGGCCCCACTTTGGTTCGCTGTTTTGCTGCGAGGGAGCATATGATTTTCAAAGAGTTTACTGAAAAGTGTTTTCAATATTTGATTAGTTGATTCTTCAACGGAAATTTCAAGGTTCATGATGCTCTGTCACTCTTACATCGTGACGTTGACCAAAGATCTCTTGTCCTCAATGACGCATTCATGGTGGCAGCCTTTGATCGCGATGTGGCAGATACTGAAGCGTGGATTGACGAAAAGCTCAAGGGGTGTGTGGTAAATTGATGTTGCTTTGCTTCTGTTCCTTTTTTTTTTTGCTTTCGGCCCGAAATCGAGATCAGT